TCGAGCGCCCAAACCACCTGGCCATGCTGGGCCTAGACTGCAGTGTATTTCACTGTTAATATGTCATATAGAGTATGAATATTTTCACATGTCTTACTTTTCAACTTTTGAAATATATTACATTCTATTGTCAAATTCGTATTTTTTGACATGCTGGGTTCTATGTACACTATCAGTAAATATACCGCCCTACCCGAAACACGAAACATTCTTTACAAATATAACCTTTACTTTGATAGGATCGACTAATATAGTTTTAGCATATCAAATTAATTGATTTACCCATTTCATCTTTCAGACTACAACTATTGGGGAAGGAAGAACATGGCCAGACAAGTGCTTCTACCCCCCCCCCCAATCCACCTTTTATGGGTTAATTTTCTTTGCCTAATTCATGAATTGGGCGGATTTTCATGGTTATTTATTTCTGAAACTTTACTTTGTGACAGATTATAAACAAATAAGTTTGTAGAGATCACGATAAAGTCGAGTTCTAAGCTCGCGAAGAAACGTGAGAGTGCCTGAAATATACGTTTCGCGCAGCTTTTAGAGTTTGTCAACTGGTTTAAAATAGTAAATACTTTCAAACATCTACATTAGCAAAAATCAGAATCATGGTTATGTCATGGTTAAATTATGGTTCTATATATATATGAACCAGAAAATATTGAAATATAACTGCATTCAACAAATAGTTTTGTTTCAGCTCTCTGTAGAAAATTATCTTACCTTGTTTATCATAGAATAAAAAAAATAAGAGACAAGTTTAAGCAATAACAACATTCATATGAAGACAAGATATCGGAAGGCCGCAGAAACTTACTGATTCTCAGGATAGTGATTACGTTAAATCTCAAATTGTATGTTTGCGTTACTTACTTCTTCATAAAGTTTATTAACAATTTCTCATTTATATAAATATTTTGAATCACTAATCATTTTCTTTCTTTTCACATTTACAGGTTTCTTATTCCTAATAGTGATTGAGAAATATCCAAACAAATTGTATACTTAGTGCCATGTTTACTGGTCAACAGCTTCGGACAACAATGTTCCTTTTAATAGCACTGATGATGGGAGCGTTCGCTGGGAAAGTAGGTAAGCAACTCACACTTCCATAACCCTGTTGTATGTAACATTCTCGTTGTGATGCCTCCAGAACCACATCATATATAACAGTCTCATTGTGATACTTTCAGAACCACATTATATATAACAGTCTCATTGTGATGCCTCGATAACCGCTTTATATATATAACAGTCTCATTGTGATGCCTCGATAACCGCTTTATGTATGTAACATTCTCATTGTGATGCCTCCAGAACCACATTATATATAACAGTCTGATTGTGATGCTTTCAGAACCACATTATATATAACACTTTCATTGCAATACCTCCAGAATCACATCATATATAACATTCTCGTTGTGATGCATTTAAAACCACATCAGATATAACAGTCTCATCATGATGCCTCCAGAACCACAATATATATAACAGTCTCCTTGTGATGCCTCCAGAACCACATCATATATAACAGTCTCATTGTGATGCCTCGATAACCGCTTTATGTATATAACATTCTCATTGTGATACTTTCAGAACCACATTATATATAACACTTTCATTGCAATACATCCTCAATCACATCAAATATAACAGTCTCATTGTGATGGCTCCAGAACCACAGTATATATAACAGTCTCATTGTGATGCTTCCAGAACCACAATATATATAACAGTCTCATTGTGATGCTTCCAGAACCACAGTATATATAACAGTCTCATTGTGATGCTTCCCCATTAAATGAAATACTTGTATAAAGCATTTTCTTGAAGAAAATTTTCGAATGGATAATTCTGTTCAACAAATGACATCAGTTAGGTTTTGATATACCTCTTCAAATAGATTTCTGTGTTTTTTTTAAGTGTTTGAAAGATTCATTAATTGGCAGAAATTTAAGCGGTTGAAAGTCAAGATTATGGAAGTCTTTATTGCTAAAATGAGTGCCTGTACTGTTTTGTATTTTGTAAGATTACTCTATTCTGTCTTTGGAGTCATGTTCATGATATATGTATTTTAAATATAAGTTTTTAATATTGAAAAGCAGTTATTCAAATGTATATTTTATCTCATTGCCTCTTAAATATTATCATATATTATCAACAGTTCCTGCCTTTGTGATAAATAGTACGTTTTCTTGAAATTTGTAATATTTTTATACATAGACACAATAATATAAACATGTATTGATAATACTTAGAATACTTGGTTAATTAAAATTTGTGAGATATTATCAAAACTTTGTATTGTGGGATAAGCCTAAATATCTGATTCACGGTAAATAAGGAGTTAGTTAACGACAAATTCAAAAGGTAAGAAATTGGCTTAAGTTAGTACCAATTTGAACGTGCCATTAACTTATTCATTATTTACCCTAAATCAGATATCTAGGCTTAACCTGCAATACAAAGTTTTAATAATATCGCACAAATTTTAATTAGTAAATTAGTACGCTGCAAAGCAAATTTTGTTTGGCTGGGATGCATCTGACTTTCATTTCTCGTGAAACTTTAAAACCTGCGTTTCTTCTGATAATACTTTGTCGCTGTTATTCGAATTTATTTGTTTTCTTGTACAGCGTCTGATAAAAAAACAAACAAGTTGTTCGTAATAATAAGTATGACCTTGAGATTGCTCACCTCCTCCAAGATGCAATGTCAACGTATTTGTTTTGAATGAAATGATATTCGTAGATAGAATGAACAATTTTATAACCTCTTAGCCTAGCTTTTGCGTAAAGATGAATGAACACAACTCAGACACACACACATACAAAAAGTCAATAATGCATTTGCTTTAAACATGACACGCGATTACTAAAAATGACTAATTATAAGTACATATATAAAATTGAGCCTTTAGTATTAGTATATAATTGTATGAAATAAAACGTAATGAATGATAAACTTTTCATATTTATTTTATTTATGAAATACAAGTGTCAGGATTTGTTCACGCGTTTAATTTCAGCGCAATGGGATGTCTGTCTTGTGGCGGCCATAGGGATCAAACCCTGCAAATTATCGTTATAAGTTCTTAAGCTTACCGTCAAATCACCTGGAGACCAGTGTCAGGAACGTTTCATATTTCAATGTTTTTTTGTAAATCTCACCTAGGATTAAGTATCTCACTCCGTGCACAACATCTAATATAAAAAAAAAAAGACAAATGAACGTGGGTATCAATAATTCGGTAAATATATTTCAGGCTTAACCAATCGACAAACTAAACATCCAACCTCATCAAATTGTCTCAAAAGTAAAAAAAACTCTTGTTATCGAAATGGCCACTTTTCTGTTTACAAATCTATCTTCCTTTATTCACTTACTCTCGATACCCAACCAGCTAGCACATCAGTCATTCATCTACACATTCATCTATCAAAAATATTCGGTTAAATGTTCCAGTTTTTATTCACTTCATCAGCAATCGTCCACCAATCAATCTATTCAACATTTACCATTATTGGCTAAAACTCTAGCTATACGTCCACCAATCAATCTATTCAACATTTACCATTATTAGCTAAAACTCTAGCTATACGTCCACCAATCAATCTATTCAACGTTTACCATTATTAGCTAAAACTCTAGCTATACGTCCACCGATCAATCTATTCAACATTTACCATCATTAGCTAAAATTCTAGCTATACGTCTACCAAATATTTCACTTACAAATGGATCCATTTATTTATTAAACCTCTCACCCCTTTGTTCATCGATTCACGAACTAAGCCACCTATCTATCTTCTTAAACTGAATGCCCCCCCCCCCCAGTGGCACAACGGTATGTCTGTGGAGTTATAACGCTAGAATCCGGATTTCGATACTCGTGGTGAGAAGAGCACAGATAGCCCATTGTATAGCTTTGTGCTTAACTTCAAAGAAATCAAATCTTAAACTGAAAGTTTGTAATATTATCATATTTCCATTATATACAACTGTATGTTCATGCATATATTTCCATTATATACAACTGTATGTTCATGCATATATTTCCATTATATACAACTGTATGTTCATGCATATATTTCCATTATATACTACTCTATGTTCATGCATATATTTCCATTATATACGACTCTATGTTCATGCATATATTTCCATTATAAAATATTACTTTATTTTCTTAACTTCTGTACGACTCCTCTTCGATCTAAGATAATACTGTTAAAGAAACGTTGTTCTTGTTTTTTAAATTTTGCACAGTTCGGGCACGCTAATTACAAGACCACGCCCGGTCCTTTGCTAATAAAGAGAAATTATTTTTCCACTTGCAGCACTGCCTCATTACACTCTTACTGGAATCGATCCAAAAGTTTATCAAATTTAAGCCTTTCTTTACTGCTACGTGAATTTATTTCAAAGTGTTGGCTTCATTTCTTTCTATACTTTATTCAGTTGCAAGTGATTTGAATTTGTTTTAATAGCAAAATAACGGAATCAATTATCATGTAATTACATAGTTTAATATTTGATATATATATAATTTTCGTGAGAAGAAGCTTTACAGAACTAAGTGTTTGTTTGTTTGTTTTGAATTTCGCGCAAAGCTACACGAGGGCTATCTGCGCTAGCCGTACCTAATTTAGCAGTGTAAGACTAGAGGGAAGGCAGACACCCACTGCCAACTCTTGGGCTACGCTTTTACCAACGAATAGTGGGATTGACCGTCACATTATAACGCCCCCACGGCTGAAAGGGCGAGCATATTTGGTGTGACGAGGATTCGAACCCGCGACCCGCAGATTGCGAGTCGAGCGCCCTAACTGTACAGTAAAGTAAATCTTTCAATTAACATTTGTCTCCCGGTGGGTGAGCGGCAAGTTTACGGATTTTCAGTACTAAAGTTCGGGGTTCGATTCACCGCAGATAGCCCATTCTATAGTTTTGCGCTAAAAAAACAACGACACGTCGATTCATGTTTACCTTTTTAATTTTACCACATTTAATGCACACACAACAAAATCTCTTCGAAATACTTCAAAATGCATATCAAGGTGGTAATATTTAAACTATAACATGTTTAGCTATTCGACATAAAAGAAAAGTTCACTGTACGAATGATTGCTGTTGACATACCTTTTCTAAGACATTAAAGTAGTCCACGTATTTTCAATATCAATTATGTCATAAAATAAATAACTTAAATTGATCGAAATTAAGTCAAATTTTTCTTTATACTAAAACATGAGTTAAAAAGGCTCATTTGTAATAATTGTGATAAATTGATTCTGTCAGTGGTTTTTGATTTCAATGTGAACCTGCTAGAGGCCGCTACAATTGATATATGCGTGCCCTCTGGAGTAATTGGATAAATCGCGTTTATTAAAATAAGAGCGATAAGCCGAACCTTCCGGGTGTTTGAGCAGATGTATTTTAGCTAATCTTTAATTGGGGGAAAAATACCTTTTTCGTTATCAAATTTTACTTGTTTTCCATTAATTTTTTTGTATTATTTTCATACAAACAAACAAATATGACTTGTTGAGATTTAATCGTACATTGAGTTTATTTTAATTGTAGAAACGTATTAAGTTAAAGTAACGTATATTTATGTATTAAAAACAGACACACTAACGGGAAAATATAATCAATCACACAGTAGTATAAATTATCTTTGTGCTCATTACTTTGTTTAATGCCCGGCATGACCAGGTGGTTAGGGAGCTCGAATCGCAATCTGCGGGTCGTTGGTTCGAATCC